CACTTCACATTCACTTGACTTCATTTTCTTCATAGTACTTCTCACTCTCTGATATTTCCTTACTTATTTGTGTACCCCTATAGGATCTGCTCCCCACTGCTACAAACACAGACTCACTAAATATAAATCCTATAAAAGAAACATGAACATAGACGGTATCATTACTCTCTCAGATGGAACAGGTGACACGCATGGAGCAATAGCAGATAGTTTAGTAAAAGATTGCTCACTAAGGTGTTTCGAGCTAGTGGGAAACATCATGATTAGCGCAATGCCTGCAGAAAGAATAAAAGTGGGTGCAGTTCCCATAAGGGACTGAAGGAACAAATAGTGTGTCATCTGGTGAGGGGGTTCTTGTAGGACACAGTGAGGGGTATGGGGAATACAAGGGACCAAAACCCAAGCTCAATTTCTTTATACCTGCCAGTATCCTATCAATAACCCAAAACAACCAGAAGCAGTAAGCAGAGGGAAATCTAGAAAAGTATGCTCTGTGGAACTGGAGGGGCTAAGTTGGAAGAGTGCAAAATCATATCCCATTCTTAACCTCAGTGCCTGAAGAAAATGCTATTTTAGTGTAAGTCATTTCTGATTCTCATGTCTGATGTCTCATTCCTGCAATTTATCCCTTAATTCAAGAAAAAGCTCATGGAAAAAAAACGTATAGTGGATTGCAAATATGCAATGTGTTTTTAAGATTTTTTCCATAAAATATTTCATTATTTTCATCACAAAATGTTATTCTGGGAGTATTTAGCCAACTTTTACAAAATAATATGAGGCCCAACAAAGATTACATGGCTAATGGACAGCAGGAGGCTGATTGCAAAGGAAAACTATGTCCTCTGGCCTATTACAAAGCTTTGTTAGATCTTTTTAAATTTTTAACCTTCTCATCTGCCTATGTCCATCAATATTGGCAAAGAAAATAGTTGGCTGGATAATTTTCTCCTTCTTGCTTTTACTTTAATTGTCTTGATAATATATGTTGAAAAGTTCATTAGGTAAAAGAGGCTTGAATCATACCATGATTTGATGCATAATTTGGTATCTATTTTTCTTCCAAATGAACAGCATTTATTTCAGAGTTGTATGGAATTAATGAAAGTTGTAGCACCATGTCTGGAGTTTTTATGCTGTTCTACAAAAAACTTAGGCTCCTTTTTCTTTTCAACTTAGATTTCAGCTATTATCCAGCAAGTAAGTAGCTGGGACTTGATATACAAATCTGAGTGATAGCTAGGGATGGATACAGAAATGTAAACTAAAAGCTGAAATAATAAAATACTGACTTTCTGTACACTGATTATCATGTTCTGTGGAAGTACTTTAGCTCATTCTTTGCAATGGGTCTCCTTCCTCAAGACAGGTAATCCATTTTTGTTTGTTGTTGATTTTTAGCAGTTAATAAGAAATAAGTGCTATTTTCTGGGTAGCAGATCTCTCTGTCTCTCTCTTCCCTGTCCTTCCCTCTTCTTTTAAAATGAATTTTATGGGGCCAGCATGACATAACAAGTTAAGCTACCATCTGTGACACTGGCATTCCATATGGGTACTGGTTTATATCCTGGCTACTCTACTTCCAATACAGTTCTCTACTAATGAGCTTGGGAAAGCAGCAGAAAATGATTCAAGTGCTTGGGCTCCGCACCTATTCTGGAGACCTGGATGGAGTTCCAGGTTTCTGTGTTCAGCGGCACCCAGCCCTGTCCATTGCAGCCATTTGGGGAATGAACCAGTGGATGAAATCTCTCTCTCTCTCTCTCTCTCTCTCTCTTTCTCTCTCTTTTTCTCCACCCCCCCCCCAGGTCTCTCTGTAACTCTTCCTTTCACATAAATATTAAAATGAATGAATAAATAAATTCTACTTGTTTATTTGAGAAGCATAGATAGATAGATGCAAAGCATCCCCATCCTCTGATCCACTTTCCAAATGTTCATAACAAGGAAGGCTGGGGCAGGCTGAAGCTGGGAGACTCCCATAGGAAGGTAGGAATCCTAATGAGTCATCCTGCTACCTCCCAGAGTTTAATTAGTATAAAGCTGGAGTTAGGATTCAGAACCAACTATTCTAATGTAGATGTGAGTGCCTTAACCACAAGGCTGAAATCTATGCACACCCAAGTCTTTTCAGTAAACAAAGATGTTTGAAGATTCTTTTCCCAATTTGGACTGTGCAGTCTGCCTGGGTCCTCCAGCTTAAATTCTTTAAGGAAAGGTATAAATTCTATATTGTGGTTCTCTAGAACAAAGATTTTTTCAATGGGAAGAGTGATGGAGAGGTGGAATCACATCATGGAGATTGTCTTTGAAACTACATGTACTGTCCTTTCCTTTCTCTAGATTCTCACAATGTTAGGCAGCCTGACACTGAAAATAGGGCTAGATTTAACAATCACCTGTCATACACAGGATGAAGCCTGGGGACACAGCAGTGAGTGTGATGGAGATATCTTGACAACTAATATACTACCAGAGAAAATGTTTCTAGTATTAAAATAAGTCCAAGGCCACCTATTTTCTCTCTTTTTCTGTATAAATGTTAGTAGTTCAATTAACCAGCTCCCAGAGATAGCTTTTTATATATTTCAGCAGATAACCCGAGAAATTCTCATCTCCCTGCTCCCTCCCCCCTCAACATCACTGCCTTCCTCTTTCTCTGAATGAAGAAACAATATACCTGATTTTCACATTGGAATGAACTAAATCAAGATAGATCTCAGTCAACAATAGGCCAATACAGTATGCATATGAATCAAAAACATCCATTTTTCTAGGAAATATAAGCATCCTAAGTGAGGTAGATGTAACATAGCTAAAGGAATGCAGGAACAAAGCACTAAATTGTAGAGAATAAAAAAATCTTTGTTAAAAGTCAAGAGCCCAAGTGGAAGAGAGGAGAAGCAGCTGATTGGATCAAAAAGGTATCATTACAAATTCATGAATAAAGCATCAGTAGCAAAAATGAAAGCTGTTTTTTTGAAAAAAAAATACTTCCAAGTGTCAGAAACTATCTCATATTGAGATTAATTCTAAATCAGCAACAAATCAGTATTTGATGAGTAGAAAGTAGAAAGTGCAGATAAAATGAGGATGCATATCTGGTTTATGATTCAGATGCTAAATGTATATGTTGATGGTTGATATAATCTTTGTTATTTATATTGCTACTATATTTGAGAAACTGTGAAAGCCATGTGTGTTTAAAACAAATGCTACCAAATCTCTTCCTAAGACCATTTAATATAGATTGGAATTTGTTGTAAAATGTATTCGTGATTTTACTTGCAATGAATCCAAATTGTCAAGTTAATCCACTGTGAATAAATATAAATATAAATTAGTTTTATAATTGGACTTGAACAGAAATGAGTAGTTGATATATAAATATGCACATATAAAGATTCATGATTGTAAATGGAGTTATTTATAGATTCATTCATTTAGTTAGGCAGTCATTCATGCCAGCTTGTCAGTTATTGAGTTCCTTCTAAATAGTCGGAAACTGTCCTTGGTCCTGGAGGAACTTGGTACTTAGAAAGAGGGTCCAGTAATGCCAAGCTTAGTGATGACTAAATATAAACTCTACTGCTAAATAATTAAGGAACATATTGAAAGACACAATAAAAGACATAAAGGAAACATTTTGTGCATCAAAAAATTAAAATACTATATTTATCCTAAGAAATAATGACAAGAAGGAAGAATATGATAATCATTGAAAACTGCACTCAGTTTAAAGTTTAATATTTATATGTGTATTTTTTTAACTTTTATTTAATGAATATAAATTTCTAAAGTAAAACTTATGGATTACAATAGCTTTATCCCCCCCATAACTTCCCTCTACCGGCAATCCTCCCCTCTCCCACTCCCTCTCCCCTCCCATTCACTATATGTGTATTTTTTAACTACAATTTTTAACAACTTTTTAAAGACAGGATCGCCGGCACCGCAGCTCACTTGGCTAATCCTCCGCCTGCGGCACCGGCACACCGGGTTCTAGTTCCAGATGGGGTGCTGGATTCTGTCCCAGTTCCTCCTCTTCCAGTCCAGCTCTCTGCTGTGGCACGGAAGGCAGTGGAGGATGGCCCAAGTGCTTGGGCCCAGCATCTGCATGGGAGACCAGGAGGAAGCACCTGGCTCCTGGCTTCGGATCTGCGCAGCGCAATGGCCATAGCGGCCATTTAGGGAGTGAACCAACTGAAAAGGAAGACCTTTCTCTCTGTCTCTCTCTCTCTGTCCCTCTCTCTCTCTCACTGTCTAATTCTACCTGACAAAAAATAATTAAAAAAATAAAGACAGGATCATTTGGGGGGACACTGTGGCATAGCTGGTAAAGCTGCTGTTTGCAATACTAGCTTATAACATCCTATATGACATCCTATATGAGTGCCCATTCATGTTTCAGTTGCTCCACTTTCTATTCAGCCCCCTGCTAATGACATGGGAAAGAGAGCAGAAGATGGCCCAAGTGCTTGGGCACCTGCCACCCATTTGAGAGACTCTTATGCAGCTCCTGGCTCCTGACTTCAGCCTGGCCTAGCACTGTCCATTGGGATCATCTGGAAACTAAACCAGTGGATGGAAGATTCTCTCCATTTCTCTCTCCCTCTCTCTCTCTCTCCCTCTCTCTCTCTCTCTCTCTCTCTCTCTTCCCCTGCCCTCTCTCTCTCTGTATCACTGACTTTTAAGTAATATATTTTTTTTAAAAAAGGGGATCATGTATATTAACTATGATGACAGTCTTTCAGAGTTGTTACATTGTTATTTAACTGTATTCCTCACCTCTGCACATTATTTTATTATACTGTTGTTATAATATATCAACGATTGTCCTTACCATTGAAAATTTTAAGTATACCACTATTTAAAAAGATACATGTTTTTCGGTAGCTTGTCTTTGCTAGTGAATCTATATGGTAGCATTTGTTGTTGTTGCACCTTATTTTGTAAACATATTTGTGATATTTATATTACTTTATTATTTTTCCCTTAAGGTGTTATTAGAACAGCTTTGCCAAACATGGACAGAGAAGTCAAAGAGCAATACCAAGTACTTATCCAAGCCAAGGATATGGGAGGACAGCTGGGAGGCTTAGCTGGCACAACGATTGTCAACATCACCCTCACTGATGTCAATGACAATCCTCCTCGATTCCCCAAAAGTATGTCATCTTTCCTATTAAGTCTAAATTAGTGCATCTCTTTTTATTATTTACAATGTCAGTGATTATCTATTTTCTCTTCAGATCGTATATATGTTTAACCTTTTACAACATCATTGAAAGCTATAGGAATAAATTATTTTTCCAAAACTTTTGGTCTTTAGGAAGCTAATGGATAAAAATTTCAGATTTTCAGAATTTAAACTTCTGAGGAGACTCATGCTCAAGGTTACTATCATATAAAATTAGGAATTGATATTTTTTCAGTTCTATGATTCTGGTTCCTATTAAGTTAAATATTTACAATATGTTATGATTTTACCCTAATATATTATTAACTGAATATAGTGCAATGTGCAAACTCTAATATAGTTTAAAACCTTGTGTTTATAGCCCATATGCCACTATATTATTTGTTATATAATTAGTATAAGAATTCTGTCTTCTATTTAGCAATTATATGTATTGAGTCATTTTCATGTAATGCTGTGAAAGTGTAAATGATATTGATATTATTTGCATTTCTGTAGTTCTGACTCCTTATTTCATTTAGTTCTGTGGTAGCTGAAAATTGCTAGAGTTTGTATGATAATGGAATGATTCACAGCTATATCTTCTCTGTAACTCTGTTTCTTACTGAAAATGAGTATTTCTCACTTCTGTTATATCTAGTTTTCTTTCACAGTGTTACATTTAATACCAGTCAGTACCTACTGGATTCCTGGTGCATTTCAAGAATTATTTCAGTTGTCCTAGGATTTAGAATGCAGAAGATGAATGTTTCTATTACTGATTTTGTAAGAAACTTGGTTAAATAACAAGGTATTTTTTGCATGAACAATTTTTTTTTCGGTGCTGGCTTTTTTTTTTAAACTTTTATTTAATGAATATAAATTTCCAAAGTACAGCTTATGGATGAACAATTTTTAAAAACAAAACATAACTTTATTCCTCTTCAAAGTCAGAAGGAGTATTTATTATTATGAGTTCCTCACAAATATCACCCTGAGAAATTTAGCTAAATGGACATTTATTCCTTGACTATATGTTTTCCATATACTAATACTTTGTCAATTTTTTAAATGATTAAATATATTTTATCACAGAAATGTGTTTGCTTAGTGATCTGAAAGTCCAATAGCTAAATCTTCAGAGTAGCAATTAGAAATAACACTACTTAAAATGCATATGTTAATAAGTTCAAGACAACCCACAATATTTCAAAACATGTTGTACATGATAAAGATATATATTTTCTATTTTAAACTTGAATTTAATTCACTAAAGGAAAAAGAAGCTGTGGAATGTATGTAACAAATGGCTGCTAAAATATCTGTAAAGATACAGAATTTTACAGTATTTCAGCAAAGTTTGCAATTAAGGGAAAATAAAAATGTATATAAATGAATATTTAAAAGAAATACTTATAAACAATTAAAAGAAGAAGCAAATGTGTCTTATTAAATTATTATTTTATTGAAGAATATGGTCTATGGTCCCAAATCTTAAAGCACTCAATTTATTTCCTCCTCTACCTCTTCATCCTCCTTTTCTTCTTTCTCTCTCTCTCTGTCTTCCTCTCCCTCCCTTTCTTCCCTGTTTTCTTCCTTATTTTTAATTTTTTTTATCTTTTTTACTATTTACAGATGGCAATCTATAATAGCTGGCTTAAGAGAATAGACTGGGAAATTACTTTGTTGGCATACTAAATAATTTTGGTATTGTGAACTCTCTGGTATTGTTTTGGGTCTTGTGCATGTAAAATATGTTCAATACAGAGTGTGGGAAATAGCAAATCTATTCATGGGTGACATCAATATTCTTATCACAGGGATTTTAGTGAGAATTTTCAGATCAGAGTGAAGATGATGCCCTTGTTGCTGAGGTTCTAGGGCATTTTTTGGAGTGTGGCAGGGGCTATTCACACTCTGGGACACTGGGACACTGGGATGTGAAAGTGTCTCTGTGATAGAGAATCTACGCTGCCCAGAGGAAGCCATGATGATGTCCTGAGGCCCAACTGAAACACCCAACTTCTGATTTATCTAATAAAAAGAGAATATGGATGAAGCATTAGGCTTACCTGGTATTTACTGAAGTTGGAATCTGTAGGTATGAGGGTACCTATGTGACATCCACTTGGAAAGAATGTGGAAGATAAGGGCATGGAATTTTAAAGCATTTACAGAGGATGTGGGAACTTTGTCATCACATCTTATTTCCTTTACAAAACGTTCTGATATTTTCCACATTTCACTGGCAAGAAAACTAGGGTTTATACAAAGAAATAGTTTTGTATAAGTTTATTTTCATCTGATATTCAAATACCTCCTAGCTTAATGAAGCATTAAAAACAAAACATTATTATTTTCAGTCTAAAACCACATGGGTTTCAGAACACATCTGCAAAATATCTCACCAGGTTGAATTATCACCACTCATAACAGGTAGATCACTGTGATCAAATTATTTACTGCTTGTATTACTGCATATTTGAACTATAATCTAAAACCTACAGCAGGTGGGAAATAATTGGAATCTGTGAAAGAAGAAATTCTTCAGATTTTACATAAATAAAAATTAATCAGCTGAGATTTTATATATCTTTGTATCAAGCCCTTTTCACTGAGCTGTCATTTTGAATTACATCCTTTAGAGTAAAACCCAGAATATATTTATAAGCAGAAAAACCATATCTTTGGAATTCAGTGATCTTTTCAAGGAATATTTCTCATGTGGAGCAATTAGCTAGAATTGTGTCATAAAATTACAAACTTACATTATATTTATTGAATGTAAAAGTCAGGAAAATGTTTATTACATACATAAGTATATTAAAAATTTCCCCTATTGACTATATTGTTCATGACTGAAGAATTATGCTCAAAATAATATTCATTTGGATGATCCTAATGGAGCTTTTTTAATACTTAAATGTAAACGAGATACTTTTTTAAAGCTACTAATCATAATGTGTTTAGGATGTTGTGTGTTTCTATGCATAAGTGGTATGGTTAATATCTACCTTGATCCACTCCATTCTATAAATTTGGGACAGAAAAAAAGTCGATGATACCCTGTATTTGCATCATGCATGTGTAAACAGTTTGCTATTTTATTAATATCAAATATGATATTCTTGAAATATCAGAACTTCCTGTAAATTTGATATGATGATAATGACCATTCAATTGACTAATTACTATGTAGCATGCATGATGCAAAGTGATTTTTATGTTTTTTTTTTCTTTCCATTCTTCATGGTGACTCCATAATGTTTTAACAATTAAAAAATAAAATAGCAAGGCTTTATTACAAAGAAAGGTTTGTAACTTGACAAAGACCCCCAAACATTCTAGCACTCCCCCTCAAATTATAACTTGCATAAGATGCCCATGTTTTCATCTAAATACCTATAGATAACCCAGAAAACTGTTCCCCAAAAAAGGTGATAGGGGTCAGCATTGAGACATACTGGGTAAAGCCATTACCTGTGACACTCACATCCATAGGGGTGCTGGTTCTTTTCCTGGCTGCTTACTTCTGATTCAGCTCCCTGCTAAAGATCCTGGGAAAGCAGTGGAAGATGACCCAAGTACTTGGGCCCTTGCACCCACATGGGAGACCTAAAAGAAGCTCTTGGCTCCTGGCTTCGGCCTGGCCCAGCCCTGATGGTTGTGGCCATTTAGGAAGGGAGCCAGCTGATGGAAGACCTCATTTCTGTCTCTCTCTCTCTCTCTCTAAGTCTGCCTTTTAAATAAATAAAATAAATCTTTAAAAAACATGATAAGGTGATGATACTATTTTAGAAACAGAAGCAATACAGCATAATAAACAATCTACTTGGAATCATATATAGACAAAATATTTTCTTTGCAGATTTTTCCATAGAGTTATATTACTTCTATGTAGTACAATCAGGGCTATCTGTAGAGGATATATACGCTCTATAATCAAATATATAAAAATTCTAATGGTTTCCACAACTTGAATTATAACTGTTAGGACCATCTAACAAGCTGGTCTAAATTATAAAGTAAAATCAATTAAGTGATACACTGTATTCACATTTGAAAAAATATGAATACTTCTTCCACTTTGTCTCTTCTTCCTATATAGATTTGGGTTGAACACCAAAAACAAATAAGTAAAATAAAGCAGTCCATATAAAACTCTGGAAGAAAAGACATTTTGAATTTATAAGAAATTCAGGAGTGTTTCCATTCTATTTCAGTACAGTAATTCAACAAGAGAATTTTATGATAAATAAATTCCAGTGTAGAAAATAAGGCAAATAATAACTGTTCTAGGAGTGGGCATTTTGTGTTGCAGCTGACCACATTTTAGATGGTAGCATCTCGTATCAGAGTGCTTGGATTTGAGTTCTGGCTCGTGATCCTGATTCTAGCTTTCTATGCTTTGCCCTCTGGGAAGCAGCAGATGATGGCTAAAGTAGCTGACTCTAGGGCCGGGCTGTGGCATAGCAGATAAAAGCCACCACCTGCAGTGTGGGCATTACATATGGGCACCGGTTCGAGACCCAGCTGCTCCCCTTCTGATCCAGCTCTCTGCTATGGCCTGGGAAAGCAGTAGAAGATGGCCCAAGTCCTTGGGCCCCTGCACCCACGGGCGGAGACCTGGAAGAAGCTCCTGACTCTTGGCTTCGGATGGGCACAGCTCTGGTCGTTGCAGCCATCTGGGAATGAACCAGTGGATGGAAAGACCTCTCTCTCCTCTTTCTCTCTCTCTCTCTCTCTCTTCACCACCCACTGTGTAACTGTGACTTTCAAGTAAAAATAAATAAATCTTTGAAATAAAAGAAAAAAAAAGGGGGAGGGGGGTGGTGGTGCTGTTGCACAGTGGGTTAACTCCCTGGCCTGAAGTGCTGTCATCCCATATGGGTGCTGGTTCAAGACCCGGCTGCTCCACTTCCAATCCAGCTCTCTGCTATGGCCTAGGAAAGCAGTAGAAGATAGCCCAAGTCCTTGGGCCCCTGAACCACATGGGAGACCTGGAAGAAGCTCCTGGCTCTGGTTCGGATCGGCTCAGCTCTAGCCATTGTGTCCATCTGGGGAGTGAACCAGCGGATGGAAGACTCTCTCTCTGCCTCTTCTCTCTCTGTAACTCTATCAAATAAATAAAATACATCTTTAAAAAATTTAAAAAAAGAAAGGAAGCTGACTCCTTGTGCTTACATGGGAAACCTAGATTGGGTTTCCAACTCCTGGCTTCAGCTTGATATAATCCAATTGTGTGGGCATTTAGGGAATCAACT